CTCGCGGCCTGGCCGCCGGGTTCCCCCGCCCCTGTGGCTCCTCCGCGGCGGCGCCGACCGAGCCCGCCGCCCCCACAGCATGGCCGCCGCGGCCCGTGGCTGGAGCGAGGCGCTCTGCGCCGGGCTGAGGGCGGGGGGCTTCCGGGTCAGGGCACCTGCGCCGGTTTGGGGTGCAGGCGGCAGCCAGCGGTTCACCCCCACATCCGAAAGCAATTTAAAAAGGGGGTGGGCATCCCTGGCCGGTTTACTCAGCGGAGGTTCAGTTCCGGTCACGGGCACAGGGGGTGGCCGCACAGTCCCCGTCGGGGCGCAGGAGGCCGCCATCGCGATGTTCGTGCGGCTCCGGCTGGGACCGAGCTGTGCACCCGGTCACCGTCCAGGCCCCCCCCCCCCCCATCGGTGTCTCTGTCTCTCCTCCCTTCCTCTCTGAAATGAATAAGTATTTTTAAAGGGGGGGCAGGAAGTGGGGGACATTTACAACACTCCAGCCATTAAAACAGGGAAAAAAGCACGGCCAGCGGAGCTGCTGTGCCCAGGCCTCGGCCCCAAGCCCCGCTGCTGCCTCGGTGCCCGCGGGGCTCCGGAAGCCGAACGGGGTATGTTCTCTCGGAGGAAGCGTTTGCCTCTGCACCTGGCAGCATCCCGCTCCCCGGGTCCTTGGGGACGGGAAGCCATTTGTCACTCCGGTCACTGCAAACCGGTGCCCGCAGCGAGGCCGTCCTCCCCCGGCAGCACAGACCCATCACCAACGCAGACGGCGAGCACACGCGGGGCTTTTATTTTACTTTTTAGAACGAGAGTCAGATGTGGCTGCGGTGGCAGCTTCATGTGGACAGAGGACAAGGGCACCACAGGGTGAACACGTTACCACAGGTGGAGGGACAGTGACTCGACTACTTAACCACCATGTTCTGTTTGGTCCCGTAAATACCCAAACAGGCGAAATACAAAGCACTGGACAGCCTGGGCTTGGGCTTCTCCACAGCTCCATTTGGCAGAAAACAAAGATGGCTTGGCTCTGATGTCGAGGGTTATTTTCGTTAATTCTCGTTTCCCGGTGTGGGAAACCCTGACCAGCCCTCCCAGCTGGAGCCCACAACACCAGGCAGGTTCAGACTCAACTCAGACAGCAGGTCCGTGAGGGGCAGCCGGTGGGGGGTGGGGTGGGGGTGAGGACCAAGCCCAGACACACATAAGACTTTGCCAGTTAGAACAGTCTGTAACCCAATTTGGACATCTGGGCATGGGTCCCGGGGCCATCACTCAGAACCAGAGCCAGCGGGTTGAAGGTTTTATGTTCCGGCTGCCAGGGGAGCAGCTGACCCGTCTGCTCTCGGCTCCTCAGCCAGAACAGAAAGAAACGGACTCCCCGGACGCTGGGGCTTCTAAGAAGACGAGAGGCCCCACCAGGGCAGGTACATGTTTTGGGAAAGAAAGTCCTCAGCACGACGCTGGGCCAAGGCCGAGGGGAGGGTTTCCATCTGGAATGACCTCCTTCATGTTTCCGGCCCAGGGAACGGTGAGAACACCATCAGGCCTGAGGAAGCGTGTCACCGGGGCAGACGTAAGGCCAGGCTCCGTGTCCGTCACCCCCTGGCCCGTCTGAGTGACCGACCATCCACAGGAGACTCAGCCGGAAGCAAAAACCACTGGTTTGGGGAGAAGCGTGTCGTGCTCAGGCCACAAGCACAGCTCCAAGTGGTGACATTCTTTGAGCAGCACATTTTTTCCTGTTTCCTGTTCATCATGTTTATTCTTTCTCAAATTAAAGACACATTTTGGGTTGTGCAAGGATGTCCTCAGCTTTCTAAGGCAGACGACACGCACACTGCTGTGCAGAAGTGATGATACTGGGACTGAAAAACAAGAGGCTTTGTATCCGTTCAGCAGCGGGCGTTCTGAAAGCCAGAGATCTGGACGCGTCTCGGTATCACTGGTTCCGGTGTGTGTTTACAAAGGCACGGACAACCACAGACACGGGCGTGACCGATGGATGACGACTCCCAGTCATCGCTGGTGCACACACCTGAGACCGTTCAGCGAGGAGAACATACTATAAGAACGAGACAGTTCATTACAGGCGCATCATGTCTGCACAGTCATCAAACAAAAGGCCGAGCGAGGCTGTGGCTGTGATTCCTGGCCACGACCCGGAATGGAGACTTCGAGGTGGAGGCGAGACTGATGGGAGGCATGTCAGCCCCGAGCAAGGGCGCCGCCAGCCACAGCCCGACCAGAAGTCTCCAAAGCAGCTTTGCAGGAAGTTGCCTCACATACTAGTAATCTTCATCTTGTTTGTGGCCCAAAATTCAGAAAATCAAAACCGGCTGAAGCCACTGGAGAGAGTGGAGGGTGGGGCATGTCATGGGCCTCGGGACCAGAATCCCTGACAAGACGCAGAGACTGCGGCCATGGCTCCGACTACAGATGACAGAGTCTTCGGGAAGGCCCAGGCGACCGTCCTGCCCGGCGGCCACAGGTGGCCCTTCTCTGTTCACGTCCCACCGTCAGGGGCCGGGGCCGGGGCAGCAGTGCTTTCACGCTGGTCCTCACAGATCAACTCGACAGCTCTCCCCGGCCACCGGCAGGGGGTCCTCCTTAGCCGAGGTTTTCAGGGAAGAAGAAAAGGAGGAAAGGGGACAGAATCCTGGGGAGGTCGCAGAAGCGTCCGGTAAGGGAGAGCGTGCCAAGCAGGCGGCCACGCCTGCCTGTCCTGCGGACGCGGTCAGCTCCGTGGAAAGGCTGTGTAGTTTAAAAGGCCTCGTTGACTTCACCACACGGCAAACGTTTTCAAGTCGGCAGGACTTCATGAGACGTGGTTATTGCTCTGTTTCCAAGAGGCCTGGTCTCCCCAAGAGGCTCTGTTCCTATTTCCAACGAGAAACCATCGGGAAACCAGGGGCCTGAACAGCAGGAGACACGACCGGAAGGAGGGCCTTCTGTCCCTGCAGGCAGGCTCCTGGGCGGGGCCAGCCCTGCTCACCCAGGAGGGCGGCTTCTGACAAGCCCCAGGGCTCAGTAACGCTGGTCAAAGGCGTGAAGGAGGAGCCTCGAAGGCTGGCTGGCGTGGGCTGAGCTCTCTCCATCAGCACCAAGCAGGGAGCGGTCACAGTGGCACCGGGACCCAGCTCTGGCTTCACAGCTGCCCCCGCTGTGGGGTGTCGCCCACAGAGGAATCAGGGCCGGGCCTACTGCAGTGAGACCTGCGTGCCCAGCGAGGGCCGTGCAGAGGCCGGCGGGTCCCAGGCCTCCGCGTCTGGCACGGGGGGCGGGAGGCAGTTTCACATCCCTTGATGATGGCTCAGCGGCAGCTGGCTCTGGTCAGCCCCCAGGGAGCCAATGTCGGGGGTCCCCATTCACATTCCCGCTGGTTTTGACTGGAACCCCAGAAAGGGGCGGGAATGGCCGCACATGCACTTTCCTACCCCAGCTGACTAGGGGGGTTAGGCCGCATCCGCAGGAGGGCAGCCATTTGCGCCTCGAGGCCCTGGCGCTCAGTGGTGCGGCCTGGGGTCCTTGGGCACCAGCGGCTCCGTGCCGTCCTCCGGCGTGCAGCTGGCTGAGGCCAGGCTCTGCATGGCCTCCCGCTGGTGCTGCCTGGCCTTGTTGTAGAGCAGGACGCCCGCCATCACCAGGACGGTGCCCACGGCCGACAGGCTGGTGATTTTGTTGCCGAAAATGATAATACTGAGCCAGATGGACAGGGCGTGCTTCACGGTGCTGGCGACACTGCAAGACAGGGGGTTGTGCACGTGGCTCCCGGCCCAGGTGGCTGTCGAGCACTTACTGCACTCGCTGGGCCCAATTAAAACAAGCAGAGAGGAGGACAGCTGCCCCGGAGTGGCCCGGCGTGTACGCCCGGGGGACACTGAGGCTGCGGCAGGTGCGGTGCCATCGAGCCCTCTGTTGTCCTCACTGGGGACAGTCCCACTGTGGTGACTGCTCAGCCGTTACAGGAAAGAGGCGGACGCACACCACGTGACGTGGCCAAGCTGCTGACCACTGCTGGAGTTTCTAGCTCATTCTTTTCTATTTGTTACTGAAATGGTACTTTTATTAAATCCATCCTATATAATAAAAGGCTAATATGCAAATTATCCCCTCAGGAGTTCGACCCAGAGACCAGGCGTTCGATCGCTCGCTATGATGTGCGCTGACCACCAGGGGGTGGCGCGGAACATGGAGGGGGACCAGCAGGCAGGAAGGAGGCGGCCGGGAGGTGGGGAACCTGATGGGCCCTGATCTCCGGCCAGGCCTAGGGACCCTCCCGGTGCACGAGTTTTGTGCACTGGGCCTCTAATCCAGTTATAAAAGCGGAAACCGGCTAACCAGACCTTTAACCCCTCCAGGTTCCCAGAGCCCGTGGTCACGTGCGGAGTTCACAGGTAAGTGGATGGAAGTTAGTAAAAGCAGGAATCCAGGTCTGCATTGAGCTCACACAGTACAGGTGCTCGCAGCCACCAGGGCCCACAGCGCCCGACCTGGGACGGGTCCTGCCGCGCAGGTGAGCCCGCTGACCGCGCTGCTCTAAGCACAACAGTCCCACCCAGTGGCAACCTCCCTAAAAATCTCAGCCCAGCTGGGCGTGGCTCAGTGGTTGAGCATTAACCCAGGAACCAAGAGGTCACAGTTTGATTCCCGGTCAGGGCACATGCCCCGGTTGCAGGCATGATCCCCAGTAGGGGGTGTGCGGGAGGCAGCCGATCAGTGATTCTCTCTCATCATTGGTGTTTCTCTCCCTCTCCCTTCCTCTCTGAGATCAATAAAGATTTAACTAAAAAAAAAAAAAAAAAAAAAAAAAAAAAAAAAAAGCTCTTTCTTTCACACACTCCACGCGTGTGTTTCAAATGGCACCAAAGGCAGCGGCCCGGCCACCGTGCCCCGGGACCTCGGCCAGCACCTCAGCACTTGGCACTCACAGACCTCGAGGCTTCGGCACCAGCCAGGCAGACACCTGTCCTACCTGAAGGTCACGGGGGAGATCCTGCCCATGAGGGCGTAGGCCGTGACGCTCTGCAGGTGGAACAGGACGCCGTCCATCAGCAGCAGCAGCACCACGTCCTGCGTGTAGCTGAAGCTCCTCCCGCTCCTCCCGACCACCGGCAGGTCCTGCGTGCGGAGCAGAGCGGCGCAGCACGCCCGTCGGCCCGGTGCCCGTCACCGGAGGACCTTGTCCCACGTGCCCAGCCACCGGGGCCCACGAGCTGAGGCTGAGGCCGCTGTGAACCCTGCCTTCTGGGTGGCGACCGGACGGCATTGACCAGGCACGCGGCCAGTGCACTCGGTCTCCAGGGAATCGCCACCCCAGCCACAGGGAGGCCCCCTCCCCCACCAGGACGGCGACTACAAAAACAGCAGCAAGAACCAGAGAACACGTGCTGGCGAGGCCGGGCAGAAGGTGGGGCCCTTGGGCACTGCTGGTGGGAACGTAGCAGAATGGTGCAGCTGCCGAGTCTCGTTGCTCCTCAAACATGTAAACACAGAGCACCCTGGCCGGGGAGGCTGGGCTGCCGGAGCACTGGCCGGCGCACCAGGGCCACTGGTTCAATTCCCCATCAGGGCACGTGTCCAGGTTTCGGGCCCCATCCCCAGTGTGGAGCGGGCAGGAGGCTGCCAATCAATGTTCCTTTCACATCAATGCTCCTCTCTCTCTCTCTCCCTTCCCCTTTCTCTCAAGTCAATTTTAAAAATGTTTTTAAAAAGTAAATGAAAATAAATCAGCCTAAAACCGCCACAGGAGAACCTTGGGAAACTCCCACAGCTACAGCTTGGCCTCAGAGACCCGCACCAGGCCTGGCCTCCACCTCTGTCCGTGCTCCTTGGGGCACGGGGTGGACACTGTAATTCAGCAAAGCAGGACATCGCGCCACCTACTCTGCTCCCAAAGCGCTAAGGACAAATGCCGCCAGGTGCCAGGAGCTCTGCTCCCCACTCACCATGAAGAAGACCCAGGCGGGGACCAGCATGGCCACGGCGGCGGCGCTGGTGTAGAACTGCAACTCGGCCGCCCTGCGGGCACAGCACGCCTGAGCCACCCGGACTCATGTGAGAGCAGCGGAAGCACCAAGCAGAGCAGGCAACAGGCTCCCGGGGGGACCAGGGGGCTCCCGGGGTGACGAGGAGGCTCCCGGGGGGACCAGGGGGCTCCTGGGGGGAACAGGAGGGCCTGTGCCTGCTGAGCCCACCCGTACGGCCAGGGGAGGGAAAGGTGGCCCGTCCGGGGCCTCCATGGGCCACGGGGCTTTTCTCCCGAGTCCCACGGTCACTGAAAGCCCCCCTGCACCCAAGGGAGAGGCGAGGGCCTGGGAAGCTGTGATACTTACGAGAACCTGTACTTGTCCCCGCTGAGGAGCTTTTTGGAAAAAACATTCTGCAAACTGGAATGAAGGAGAGAAGAGGTTACCTTCGATGCAGGAAGTCAGTAGGGAACCTGAAATGGACGCAGCGCCTGCAGCCTTTCTCACGGCGAGGTTGAGCGACGGGCCTGCGGCCACCCAGCTCTGAGGTGTCAGAGGACCCCACAGCCCCCCTCTGAACCAAGAGTCCCCCTAAATCAGCACCTGCCGTGGTCCGGCACCCAGGAAACGGAACAGGAGCTCAGGCTCATGAACTCCCGAAGGCGACAGACACGTGGGAAACCACACACACGCACACTCACACACACACACACACACCCGCGCACATGCATGACTGCACACACACACGTACACACACACACGTACACACACATACACACACACACACACACACACGGCCAAAGAGAAAGCCAGACAGCGTCCGGTGGGAAGCAAGGGGCTGCCCTGGTGAGTGGCGCTGCTCATGCGACTCCAGGAGCAGCACGTTTTGTTTCATGAAAAACCTGGCGAGTCAGTGGAGCCAGGAACTCTCACGGTCGGGCCTGGAACCAGAACGATGGCCCTGGAGACGCCGACAGCCCAGACGGAGCCTGGCAGAGCCCTGGGCTCCGCTCCCTTCAGGAACCGCTGCTGCAGGACCATCGGACACGGGGCCCGGCCGGTGTGGCTCAGTGGTTGAGCATCGACCTATGAACCAGGAGGTCACGGTTTGATTCCTGGTCAGGGCACAGGCCTGGGTTGTGGGCTCCATCCCCAGTGGGGGGCGTGCAGGAGGCAGCCGATCCATGATTCTCTCTCATCACTGATATTTCTCTCTCTCCCCCTCTCCCTTCCTCTCTGAAATCAATAAAAACATATTGTTAAAGAAAAAAAAAAAAGAAAGTGGAGGGAGGCTCATGGAAAAAGATGCCTCCTGTGACTTAAACAGAAGGCTCGGTGTGTGTGTGTGGGGGGGTGGGGCATGGAGTCCGCAGAACTGAGGCTGCGGGGCGTGCGGTGCAGGAGGCTGTGTAGGTTGGTCGGTCAGTCGGTCGGTCATGCTTCTAGGAGCCACAGAGGCGGGGCCACGCCTCCGAGAGTTGGAGGTGGAATTAAAGTTGTTTACCATCTCTTAGCAGGATTATTCAAAACCTCAAGCCCCACTTTGGTGGTGACAGCGACCCCGACCCCCGTGGTGGTGTTTCCTCTTCTCTCAGCAAAAGGACAAAACTGAATGTGATTATTGGTTCTGAAATGCTGGGCTGCCTGCAGGGCGGACCTCACTGACACCGACGCAGCGCGACTCCCAGACGGTCCACGCAGCAGCCAGGACGCGGCTCGGGCCTTGGGGACCCGGGCTCCCAGCACCCCAGCGTGTGGTAGCTACCACGGCCCTGGTGAGCGTTCTTAAGGGTCAGGCCATGAACCATCAAGTTCTAGCTTGTTTTCGAGAAAAAGTTACCTCGTTGAGGAACCTCCAGTTTTGCTCTTTAGGAAAAGGCAGCAGCAGACGTACTGGCCGAGCTCTGAGTGGCGGGAAGGAACTGAGCGGCTCTGGACTGAAACACCCATCCCCCAGCTGAGGCAGGTGAGCAGTGCGCCCCGGGCACACGGTGTCCCCACAACCCCCGGACTCACCAGTCCATGATGTTGGTGGACAGCGCGGCTGAGAACCCCAGGATGTTGAAGCTCATCTCGGTGGCTGTGCACAGTGCCAGGCCTCCCATGACAGGGATGAGGGAGAGGTTGACCAGCAACCCTGCAGAGGAGGACAGGAGGGCCCGGCTGTGACCTGGCTGTGACCTGGCTGTGACCTGGGAGCCCGGCTGTGACCTGGCTGTGACCCAGGAGCCCGGCTGTGACCTGGCTGTGACCCGGCTGTGACCCAGGAGTGACCCGGCTGTGACCTGGGAGCCCGGCTGTGACCCGGCTGTGACCCGGCTGTGACCCGGGAGCCCGGCTGTGACCCGGCTGTGACCTGGCTGTGACCCGGCTGTGACCTGGCTGTGACCCGGGAGCCCGGCTGTGACCCGGCTGTGACCCGGGAGCCCGGCTGTGACCTGGCTGTGACCCGGCTGTGACCCGGGAGCCTGGCTGCGACCTGGCTGTGACCCAGCTGTGACCTGGCTGTGACCCGGGAGCCTGGCTGTGACCTGGCTGTGACCCGGGAGCCTGGCTGTGACCTGGCTGTGACCTGGCTGTGACCTGTGACCTGGCTGTGACCCGGCTGTGACCTGGCTGTGACCCGGCTGTGACCCCGGTTGTGACCCTGGCTGTGACCATGTGTGGCCCCACCGCTCCTCTGGGAGCCACGCTGCCTCCTGCCTTCCCAGCGCCTGTCTCTGTGCTGGAGGGAGGCAGAGGCACAAGAGCCCGCCCCCCTCAATGCCAGGCCCCTCGATGGTGGCCTCTGCCGGGCCTGGGTGACCCCCAGGCTGCACAAGTTCTCACCAGCAAACAGGAGAGGAAGGGAGATGGGCTCAGGGATTCTATGAAAAGGAGAAACCGGGGGTGGGAAGACTCAGTGCCTGAGCCCACGCGGTTTATTCCTTTCATTCGGCACCGAAACCCCGGGCGTGAGAGGCAGACAGCCCTCTTGTACGGGGAGGGCCTCGCCCACTAGAAGGGACCCTCGGCGCCGCTGCTCTGATGTCTGAGGCAGCATGGACGCGATGCGAGCCCTTCCTGTTCAGCAGAGAGGAAGCAGCGCAGCCTCCGGCCACGGCCACGTCCTCGTCCCAGGGCCCTGCTGCCGAGCACAGCTCCGGTTCCTCCGGCAGCGGCCGGCTGGCCAGCAGCAAACCCACTGCCCAGCGCCCGGGCAGGAACTGCCTCCACCTGGTGCCCAGCTCTCGCCTTGGGCTCTGCCCGGGGATTCTGCTGCTGAGGACAATGCGTGTGAAACGAGGGCCTGGACGTGCGCCTGCCCCTCCTCAGGAAGGACCTGTCCTGCGTGCTTTTTGCTAAATTCCATCAAGACTTTCTCCCCTTTCTCAGGAAGTCAGCTGGCCGCTCACCCGTGTACTCCCCCAGGATCATCCGGGACATGATCACAGTGAAGATGGGGGCGGAGCTCTTCACCGTCTCGGCAAACGACACGGCCACGTTCTTCAGGCTGACCAGGCCCAACACCACGGTGGCGAACCTAGAGAAGCCGGAGGGGGTCGGGATGCTCACCTGACTCTGCCCGGAGTCAGCAGGGGCCGCACCTGACCCCCCGCACGTGCTGTGCTGGGTCTGGCCCTCAGGAAACGGCCACCCGCCTGCAAGGGCCACTGTGGCCAGAGCGTGGGCCCCGAAGGAGGCGCATCACCCTGAAACCGTTACTAAGCTAGTTTCGTGGCCGCTCCAGAAAGGACCCATCGGGCACGAGATGCACAAAGCCAGGTGCACGCGCCGCCCTGAAACGGAGACTTCAGAGAGTTTGCACTGCACTCGCCTCCGACCACCAACGGTGACGCCACTCAGCCGCTGCTCACTCTTGGTGACAGGAAAGACATTTTATTTTATTTTACTTTATTTTATTTTATTTTATTTTATTTTATTTATTTTGTTAAATCTGTTGTTAGTGATTTTTTTAGAGAAAGAGGAAGGGAGAGGGATAGAAAGATAGAAACATCAATGAGAGAGTAACATCTTTGATCAGCTGCCTCCTGCACCCTCCCCACAGGGGATGGAGCCCGCAACCCGGGCCTGTGTCCTGACCGGGAATCCAATGGGAGGCTTCTCGGTTCCTGGGTTGATCTCAACTGCTGAGCTACACCGGCCGGATGGTAAAGGCGTTTTATTTATTTTATTTTATTACTAGAGGCCCAGTGCACAAAATTCATGCGGGGGGGGGGGGGGGTGTCCCTCAGCCCGGCCTGCACCCTCTCACAATCCAGGACGCCTGGCTCTTAACTGTTCACCCGCCTGCCAGCCTGATCGCCCCTAACCCCTCTGCCTGCCAGCCTGATCACCCCTAACTGCTCGCCTGCCTGCTTGATCGCCCCTAACCACCTCTTCCTTGGCCCCCACCATGGTGGCTTCATCTGGAAGGACGTCCGAAATGACATCTGGAAGGTCATTCGGCTGTCTGGTCTAATTAGCATATTATGCTTTTATTATTATAGATTTTTTAAAAATATCTTTATTTATTTATTTATTTTTAACCCTCACCTGAGGATATTTTTCCATTGATTTTTTCAGAGATTGGAAGAGAGAGGGGAAAACAGAGAGAAACACTGATGTGTGAGAAACACATCAATTTGTTGCCTCCTGCACGTGCCCCGACCAGGGCCTGGGCGGGAGAGGAGCCTGCAACAGAGGTACGTGCCCCTGACTGGAATTGAACCTGGAACCCTTTGGTCCACAGGCCAACGCTCTATCCACTGAGCAAAACCGGCCAAGGAGGGAAAGGCATCCTATCTAATAGACAAACATAATAATTGACCGTAACTTCGCTACGCCTCCCATTGGCTAATTAGCACGATATGCAAATTAACTGCCCATGAAGATGGTGGCTAATTTGCATACTGCAGGCAGGGCGGGACAGCGCCATCCCGCCTGCCCTGCCGCCATCCGGGCCTGCTATCTGAGACCCGGGGCGGCACCCCAACCCCCGGATCGGCCCTGCCGAGTGCTCGACCCGGGGAGGCGGGGCAGGCACCGAGGGATCAGGCCTGCCATCTGCCACCCAGGGAGCGGGCCTAAGCCAGCAGGTGGTTAGCTCCCGAGGGGTCCCAGACTGTGAGAGGGCACAAGTGGGGCTGAGGGACACCCCCTCCCAGCCCCCCTCCCCCACCAGTGCACAAATTTTTGTGCACCGGGCCTCTAGTTTTAAATAACGTGAAAAAGAACCCAGTCCCGCACCCAAATGCCAGGCCCTCACCTCATGAGGCCCACGAAGAGCATGGTCATGATGAAGTTGGGCGGGTAGGCGAGCCGGACTTTGTGCTGGTACAGGCAGCAGGGGACGAAAATCTTCAGGCAGCCGATGCACGTGGTGGACAGCATCTGCACTGCGCCTGCGGGACGGAGTTGCCAGCGATGAGCTGTAGCCATGGTCGCGCCCACCTCTGTGCCCCGACCCAGCTCCGTGCCCTGCCCACCTGCCTGTGCCCCGCTGGGGCCCAGCTCTGTTCCCCACCCACCTCTGAGCCCCCACCTACCTCTGAGCCCCCACCTACCTCTGTGCCCTCACCCAGCTCCGTGCCCTGCCCACCTGCCTGTGCCCCCGCCCTCACCCAGCTTTGTGGCCCCACCCACCCCAGTGGCCCTGCCCTCACCCAGCTGTGCCCCACCCCCACCCAGCTAGGTGCCCCGCCCGCCTGCCCGAGGCCCCGCGCTCACCCAGCATGCTGGGCTCGCCCTCCAGCAGCGAGAGGATGTACTTGTTGAGGAAGAGGGTGCAGAAGCTGAGGAAGAACCAGAGCGTGAGGTAGAGCAGCGCCCGCGAGCTCCACACGCCCAGGTCCGCCTCGATGACCGTGGTGCTCGGTGATGGTGACGGCCAGCACGCTCTCCTCGGCGC